GGCCACAGTCGCCCAGCTGACAACCACTGATATATAACCACCATCTCGGGTTGTTGCTCTAGGATCTAGTGAGGTTACATGTGTTCCAAAACTGTTCCATTCATGCTACAAAAGAGACTAATTTATAATGCTAGTGTCATCAAATGAAAAAAAATTGTTAATGACCCAGAGACTGTTCATTTCTGTGTTGGCTAAATCCTCCTGCTTGTTTCCGTAAGCCTGAGACTTCCAAGCTGCTCTGCTTGGCTCAGAAAGCAGAGGTCTGCAGTTTAAGAATCTGTTTTTCCAAATACACAGGGGACCAGAGTCATAATCCTAAACAGGAGAGAACGCAGCCAGGAGGAAGCATTTTGTAGTATGCTGGCTCATGGCAGCTGTGTCTTCCTGAAATGATGCTTTGCCTGGAATCCATTTCCAATGGGCTTGTTAGCATTTTGTTGAACACAACCCCCGGGTTGTGAAGAAAAAGAAGTAAAAATGTAGCTTTAGGAGAGGAGACCTGGACATGAAGGAAGCGGAAGACTAGGAGTGTTCTAAATTTGGGAGAGAAATTGGTCTAGCGTTTTTTAAATTCTGGATTTTAATCACTCAGGTACAAATGGAGTCTGCCTACAATATGACAACCATGGACTGGCTCCAAGGACATTGCTCTGCTCTGAGAAGCTGACACAGAGCAGGATGAAACACTAAAATGGACCGAACACAGACTGCCTGGTTTAGCCACACGGCTGACTCCGGAAGAGAATACCCTTCATCTCTTTGCAGCGGAAGATTACCAAATGAGAAAAACCCTTCATCTCCACGCGACGGGATGCATCTATACAAATCAAGGAAGTCCCATTTGAGAAAAGTGCTCCCAGTCTCCCTATCCGCACATCAAATCTAAACAACCGCTTTTCCGATCACAAGTCATAAGTGTCTAAGGTGAAGAGATAAAGGCATGAAATAAGGGCTCCCGGAATAACCCCAGGCCTTCCCCATTCCGATTCCTGAGCCTGAGGGTGGAGGGGAGAGGTGCGGGCTTAGGGACCTCAGCATTTCTCTCTTCCTTTGCAGTTCCTAAACCAGCAAGACAGGAATTAGCAAGAATTACATCTAATCTCTTCCCAAGTGTGTGGATTTGCATTATTTAAATACATGGGGAGCACCCATAACCGAGTAATTATTACAGCATTTGAAGAGTGCCAAACAATGAGCCATTTCTTCTTCAGACCCAATCTGGCCCATTTCCGTTTTCCTCTTAGCACATTGTACAGAATTACCCAATGTGTCACTTCCTAGAACACTTGATTGTTTACACAAGTAAGCAAGAACTTCTTTGGCAGTATTTATTTCTCTCATTTTAGACACGATGATTGCAGCCTTCATGGTGCTCTTCTTTCTAGAAGCCTCTCAAGTACTGAATGTGTATAGACGCAATTTTGTACCTTTCTTTTTAAAACGAAGGTTATCCTTTGGCAAGAGGGGCAGGGAGAAAAGGCTGAATCCAATTGAGAGTAAAAAATTCTTCAAACTCTGTACTTGCTTGTTTGACATGCAAGGAGCGTGCTGGGTTGACTCCTTAACAAGCATTTTTAAAGAAAATATTCTGCAAGGGATTTCCCAGAGGCTCTGCAAGGAGGACAACTATTTGCATCTCGATTACCCAGAGCCCAAGTGGATTTTTCCTGAGCCATTTTTCCATCAGAAATCTCAGTGGGAGGAGAGGTCACTACGATGTTTGTACTTTTGTCGTTGGTGAGGCTGAGGTTTTCATATGGAGGCAATAAAGAATGCATAATTGTGCATTCAGCTAAAACTAAAGATTCCTTCCCCTACAGTGAGTTGTGTGTGCATGTGTTTTGTGTCCAACACGGAAAGCCCCACTTGACTATAAGACAGACAGGCCTTATTCTCCCTAACAATTAACACACGCACACACGATTTCCCAACTTATGGTAAAACTGCAGAGTTAAGAGACCCCTTACCCGTTCCCAGCTTCTCTTCCACCCCAACCCGCCCGGCACAGGTCTTTAGGGACAATCGGCAGCTGCCTGGACAAACATTATAAATCAAAAGGATTAATGGTCCAGTAGGCAGGCCTTGGTCACCCCAAGTTCTGGCATCTTTTAAGTTGGCTCATTTTAGGAAGACAAATGCAAAGAGCCTCCTTCACTTATCTGCGTCAGAGCGGTCCAAGGGCTGCAGATAAAGCTTCTTCAGTGACGTCTACAGTCTGTCGTCTCTGGCAGGCAAGTGCCATTAGGGTACAGGTATGTAGATGCTATTTTGACGATCAAACGATTCATATTTGGTACGTGCTTGGAAGAGAGCCAGGGAAGCAGACTCTCTTACGTCAGGCCTCCTCAAAGCAGTACGTGAGCTGGGGGTTCTCATGCGAGAGATGCTGGCTGATGCGGGCATGGAGGTAGGCTAGGGTGGGGAGGAGCTAGCAAAGCCACTGGTAGCCCTTGGCAGCTCTGGAGTATGAAGTGCGCTAGCATTTGATTTACCAGGGCAAGGGATTTGGGCTCTCATAGTGCAGAATGGGTCCCTGCAGGGTGGGGGGACCATTTCAGACATCTGTCAGCCACTGGTGACCCTCTGAATGGGTGAAGCCCCAGCTAAGGGGATCTGGGTGGGGACAAGTGTTTGATGACAGCAGCTCCACGTGTGGAGGAATAAGGGCTCAGGACTCAGGAATCTGAAGACCTGAGCCCCAGTGCCTTGGTTTTCTCATCTGAGATACCTTCCTTTTGGTCTTCCAAGGCCTCCTGAATCTCCCGTTTGAGGTTGGCACTCTGGCTTCATCTGTAGACAAGTTGAAGTCATAAGTGCTTATTTCTTTGTGTAGTACCAGACTTGGGCAGTGGGGAGTGCACAGACTCTGTCCTGTTCTCTGCAGCACCCCAACACCAGCACAATGCCGGCACACAGTAAGTCTGCAGTGCATCCTTGCTGCCAGTCTGAATGGCTACATCACACCTGTCACTCTCAGTGAAAGGCCTCAGCTCCTAATGGATGGAGCTTCGGGGGATGTGGAGTGTGGGGGAGAGAGAGAGACATTGCTTTGTTATTCCACTTTTAAATGCATTGATTAGTTGATTCTTGTATGTGCCCTGCCTAGGGATGGAACCCGCAACCTTGGTGTATTGGGGATGATGGTCTAACCAACTGAGCTAACTGGCCAGGGCCCCTTCCTCTTTATGGATGCTTCTCGGCTTGCCTTTTCTTCCGGGAGTTGGGAGTTGTTGCTGTGGAGGGGTGTTCTCCCTCTCTTTCCATCTTCCTCTGTAGAGGCTGGCTGCACTCCAATATGCTCCAGCCCCATTCAGAGCAATTTCCAGTGAGAGTGCCCAGATTTGTGACATTCTGAAATGACATGATGCCTGGGAGAGCCATGTCAGGTAGTAAGGTATGTGCAGGGGGTCAGGGAGAGAGGGGAAGAGAAGGCAGTGGCAGCCCTCTGGGCCATAAATCATGCCAACCAGCAAGGCAGATGTCAGAGCATTCCCTGCAACTACACAATCACCAAGGATTTGGGTTTTCGATACTCTCCCCACTTTCCCTTGGACATTTCATAACTGTCCAGGTTTCACTAAAAGGACTCCGGTGATGGAATTTCCGGCATATAACAGGGGGGGTGGGGGGGAGTGCAGATACTCCAGCAGCGAGGGAGTTTCTGTGTTGTGGTGGGAGGAGGGGGGAAGGGCCTTCCTTGGATATGTCCCAATGAGCAGTTTCCATGCCTTCACATTCTTCCTTTTTAAAAACAACTTTCCCCTTCTAAAAGTAATATTACCATTTTACAAACAATTTGGAAGGTAAATAATTAAAAAAAAATTCATTCCTCTGAAAGAATGCAAATGACTGTGAGCATTTTGAACATCCTCCCTCTAGTCTCTTTCTCTGTGCATCTCCGTCTGGATCCGTGTTGGGAGTTTTCACTAGATAGTTTTGTGTCACTGGAATAGTTTTATAACCTCCCTGATAGTTTCCTGCATTTCCTGACATTAAGTCTTGCGGCCAGGGATCTGGAGCACTAAGTAGCTGGGGGTTTTGGAGCAGGAGAGAACCCTAACTCTGGACTTCAGTTTCCCAGCTACGAGATGTGAGTGGAACATAAATTATCATTGAGGTTTCACGTTTTAGGAGTTGTCCTGGCTTCCTCCCCAGCAGGGGCCTACTTGGGTCTCTACTCAAACTATGGGATCCTCCCGACTGGAAGGCGGGACCGCTTAGGGCAGGTCAGGGGGCCTGGCCCACAGCGGTGATTCAGAATGAGTCCTTCTGGGGCTCTCGTGACAGGGACACGAAGTAGCCACCTGTCCAGCTGTCCACTTCCAGGTGGTCCTCCCTGCCCCACCCAAGAGGACTGGCCTCGGGTTCCTCCTGTAGCTGTGAACTCCATTGGCCTCCCCTCGGGGGCTTCACCCACATTCGCGAGACCATCCTGGATACTGGGAAGACCCAGGCCACGGCACCCCCACACCCCAACAGGACAGAGCGTAGGATCCCAGGCTTCGGGCAGTGGGTGAAGTGAGGTGACCGCCCTCTCCCCCGGGAATTGTTTGGGCCCCAGGAGTCAGCCCCAGGCAGGCCGCGCCTGCAGCCCGGGTGGGACGCCGTTCTCCCGGCCCCCCTTCCTCTCCACCGTGGCCCGGGGGCGGACGGACGCGGTGGCGCCCATCCTGGCCCCCGTGCGGTTTCCCCGGCGAGGCCCGAGGAGGTGCCGGAGCGGGAGGGGAGGAGGAGCGCGCGGGGCGCGGGTGGGGAGGAGTAGCAGTGAGTGGGGGGAGAAGGAGCAGCGGGCCTGGGCGGAGGAGGAGAAGCGGCGCATGGGGTGGGGGCTGGGGGTAGAGGAGGGGAGAGCCGAGGAGCCCCGGGGGAGAATGGGGGCGGAGCAGCTGTGGGAGATGGAAGGCGTCGCGGCGGGCCTGGGACCGGAGCAGAAGGGGGCGGAGCCGAGGGCGTGCCGGGGGCGGGACCTACGGGCGCCCCGCCCATCGCCGCCGGGCTGCGCCGAGGAACGAAGATGGCCGGGCGCACCGCGGGAACTGAGGAGTCGCCGGCAGCAGCGGCAGCGGCAGCTTCGGGGTTGTGACTCTGCGCGCGGCAGCGATCCGAGCGACCCAAGCGGAGCGGGCCGGCTGCGCAGACAGCGACGCGCCGGGCCAGCGAGCGGCGGGTGGGCGCCGGTACACCGGCGCCGGGCGGAGGATGCACCGGGCGCGGCGGGCGGCTCCCCGCAGCCGCCCCCGCGCCTCGGGCGCCCGGCCTTAGTGCTGGCTGAGGAGGCGGCGCGCGCGGGGCGGCCGGGCGGCGGCGGGGCCCGCGCCGTCATGCCGTGGTTGAGCGGCGGCCGCCGGCGGCGGCGGGTACAGACGCGAGAGGCCCCGCGGGAGCCGCCGTCGTCCGTGCAGTCCCCGCGGGAACCGCCGCAGCCCGCGACCCCCGCCGCGGTCCCCGTGCCCACTGCGCCCTCCGGGGCTCCGCTGCGGGCCCGGGAGAGCTCCGAGCTACCGCTGCCCGCCGGCTGGGAGGAGGCGCGCGACTACGACGGCCGCGTCTTTTACATCGACCACAACACGCGCCAGACGTCGTGGATCGACCCCCGAGACCGGTAAGGGCGCCGACGGGGGTGCGGGCCCGGGCCCCGTCCCGGACGTCCCATTTCTTGGGCTCTGGGAGAGGCTCGAGGACACAGGGAGGTCTCCGGGTCTGGGCGACGGACAGGGAGCCCACACGCCCCCATCTCCGGGGCTCCGGCCGAGGATCGAGGCGCCTCCTCTCCCGGCTTCGAGCCCCGCAACGCGGAGCTCCAACCTCCTCCCGGTCCTCGCCGCGGCGGACACACTGACTGGGTTCCCTCACGTCACCCGCTGACCGGCGCCTGGGAGCTGGGCGCCTGGAATTTCCTCTCCCGGGGCTGACGGATGGCCCTCTTTTCCTTTTTCCGCCGCGGCCTCGCCCATCGCTGCCGGGCCTCTGCGGCCCACCACCCCCGGCTGTGGCCCCACAGGCACTCCGGTCCCGCCATGGCCAGATGAGCTGTCACCTTGGAGCACGAACGTGCGCCCTAGCTCGGTGGTGTGGGCTCCTGGTCTGGCGGGCTCACCCTGGTTTCCGTCCACAGACTGCTGCCGCTCCGGACACCTCCGGGGTTCCCAGTTCTGGGCGATTCGGGACAGCCTCTTCCCAAACTGGGATGGTTAGTGTACTCTGTAGCGCCTTAAACATTGAGTTAAAGTTCTGATTGAAACAGCCTTGTGTATTGTGGCCAGAATGGATTATGATTAGACCCAGATGCTTTTGGAAAGATCGAAAAACAAGAGTAGGATTTTACGTTTCCTCTTTGTGCAAGATATGAATAGGGCACTATGTTATCTTATTATTTATGTAAATAAATCCTATGCAGTAAAAAAAAACCCGGATTCTTGCATTTAATTATGTTCATGTAATGATGATGCTTTTCTTAAACTCTTTCAATGGTTCAGCCACTTTTGCAGAGATGCATTTTTCGTGGGATTGGGAATTCTGTTGAACCTGAGTGTTTCCAATGGTTATGTGATATCTTGTCCTGTTTGGAACAGCTCCTGTCCATTGCTTGGGTGCCAGAAAGGAAATATACTCCAGGTTTCCCAGTGATTTTAAGACTCGAAAAGGCCAAGAGTGGTGACACTGCACCTACTTCCTCCTACCTGCACAGGAAAGGCAGCGCTGCATGGCACTAGCATTTGAAAATAAACGTTGGAGGGGGGAAGCTGCTGAATTATTGTTTGAATATTTCTCTGGGTTCAGATAGGGAAAAACAAAACAAAGCAAAACAAAGCAAAAGGATCATGGTTCCCTAATATTCTCTCTGAACATCGCAAACTCTGAACTCAGAAACTTAGATAATGCTGGCACAGTTCGATGGGTTAAAAGGATGCTTAGTTATTTTGAAAATCAGGTGAGATCATATTATAATTTTAACCAAAGGCTAGAGCCACAGCTGTTTGATCAAGCCTTGGATGGTTCTGGAATTGCTAGAACTGCTTGGAATGTGGTGCCCTTTTATGCTGTATGTGTGTTAAAAACCCAAACAACTGGAAAATGAACCAATTAAAAATACCGTTTTGCTTAGAAAAGGCTAAGGCTCATTTTATGAGGGTAATATAAAACAGTTGTGGTTACATTGGAGTGGGGATTCCTGATGAAAAGTGTAAATGTAAGAATTTCCCGTTTTCTGGTATGACCCAGGACATAGGTAAGCAGATCCTACACAAGTCAGCTTGTAGAATCCTCCTTTCCGCACATTTCATGCACGTTTCCTGTGTCTCTCCTTCCAGAAATGTGTTACCCAATGACATTCTCCCCGTTTGCAGACATCGCTTATGTTAGAGATTTCTAAAAAGTCTTGTTTCCAGCTCTTGCCTCGGCAGCACATATACTAAAAAGTCTTGTTTCTAATGCTAAAAGTGTCGTTCGACTGAACAAAAGTGGATATTTTACATTTTTTGTAAAGTAAAAACATGTGTATACTTTTATGAGACATTGTTTTTATAGTGAGTGAAAATTCAGCAGGGGACAGCTTGCACTTCAGCTCCCATAATACCTTGCCCGAAATATGTATGGAATGTTCGGCAAGCCACAAACATTTAAGGGGAGTCTCTGAAGGGTGTAAATGGTGTAATAGTCATTCTTCTTCTTCTTCTTTCAAAACAGAACCCTGCCGATTTTTATAGGTGACTGGGTATCCTTTAAAGTTGGAATTGTTTTATTACATGGAAAAAACTGTGTTGGAGCATGTTTTCTCCATGTGCATCTGACAGTTAAAACCCCTTTTGAGTTGCCTTTGATTCACAGTCAGAGAACAGTGTTCAAGAAATGAGGACTTTCCCCCAAACTGCTCCCAGAGAGAGAACTGACAGGGGAAAGGCAAATAAATAGGGTTTTAAAGCAAATGAGAAATGAAATTGAAATTAGGGAGGAATTTCAGTGTAGTAGGTTAGTTGCAAATTATTGCTGACTTAAAACACTTCATATATAATTCAGCATGAACTGTAATAGCATAACATATACTGCTGTAAGCAAAGTAACCAAGGGCCAAGGGTGGTAAACAATCTCTTCTAGAGTTTTCTATTCATTCCATTCATTGTTGTGTTTAACAGCATTTGATATTGCCAGCTCAGGGCGTGTTGGTGAATTATTGTAGCTGAACTTTCTTTTTCAAGTCACGACAAAGAGGTTGCAAGCCTAAGGAAACATCTTTACAGATGTGGCCATAAACATCCCACTATTTTCAAAACAGAATTCTCTTAGTTTGATGATCAAACCCCCCCCCCCCCTTAGGTTTAAATTGACTGTCTCTGCAGATCAGTGCTGTGAGTATAAGTCTCATAGTTTTGGGGATTGTACCAAAAAACTTTCTTAAAAAAAAAACACAGTGAATTCACCATTGCTGTGGCTGGTCATTTCTGTGGGTGAGTCTTATGTGGTTTACACAAGTGGCACATATATGTACTACGTATATTCACTCAGAGTTCAATGACCACTTTATAAAAAGGTATTTACCATTTAGGCGGAAAATTATGGAAAGAACATTTTTGCTTCCTTTGGAAAAATTCAGTGCCTTCAATGGTTGTATATATATACATGTGCGCTTCCTTCGGGTTGCGTTGGTATTATCCTGTAGATTGGGACTAGGTGGTTGACACTTTGTTCTGTTTGCCTTAGCTCATTTATTTTTATTTTAATTTTTTATTATTTATATATATATTTTTATATCCTCACCTGAGGATATGTGTATTGGTTATTTCCTTCTGGAGGGAGAGAGGAAAGAGGAGGGAGGGAGGGGGAGAGAGAGAAAGAGCGAGCGAGAGTGAGAGAGGAGAGAGAGGTATCGATGTGAGAGACAGAAACATCGATTGGTTGTACGTGCCCTGACTGGGGATTGAATCTGCAGCCTAGGTATGTGCCCTGCCCTCAAGTCGAACCCACAACCTTTTGGTGTATGGAACAATATGTTCCAACCAACTGAGCCACCTGGCCAGGGTTAGGGGCAGTTTTTGTTGCATACTACTGGAAATGCCAAGTGTCAGCAGCTGAAGGATGGGGACCATATCACATTTGAGATCAAAGCAGAGTATAAATGATCATGATGCTGGTGGAAGGCCCAGATGATATCATGGCAGAAGCTTTCAGGACATTTGTTCCCGTGATGGATTTGACCTGTGTCACATAAAGGGACTCTGTGGTATATGAAAAGTCCTTTGGGCGGGCTATTGCTTTAAGGAGAAAACAGTTCTTGATTGGTTCAGGAATTTGCCAGGCTGGAGCCCCACTGATCAGAGCCACATGACTCATTGATTGCTCCCTTCTTGGAACCCTTATTCAGTATTAATTAATAAGATGTTTACTATATTTACCTCACAGAGTTTTTTGGGGGATTATAGAAACTCTGATAAACAAGTAATGCTTTCTCCATTTTCCACTTACAGGTAGTGTTTATATGAACATGGGGGAGTGTCTCGATTTTAAGGACATTGGGGTGGGATCCTAGAAAAGTGTTCTTCCATTTAGAAGATCAACAATCACTTCTCGGTCTGTTCTTGGTCTAATATCTTTCCTTTTCTTTCCTTCCTTTTCTTTTTTAAGTGAATGGAAAAGTCATTCATTTCCAAAAATAGCTCCCGGATGTTTGGAAATCTCTAAGTTTCCTTTTCTCCCCTTTCACTCTGATTTTGGAAGTGAAAATAATGTGCTTCACCTTCTCTGGTAGGTTCTACTTCAGGAGCCCTGGGGTCAAGTGACATGTTAAGGGTCACCTGTGAGCCTGGCAGGCTGCTTCTAGCCCAGGTCCTTTTGCTAATGTTGGCTGCCTTGCCAATAAATGAAAATAAAGTTAATCTGATGGAATAAAAGCAGAGTCAAATTCTACTGAGCTCAGTTATTCCCCTTTAAATCCAGTAAAGTGAAGAACTGTTTGCAGAGATTTTTGGCCTCCTGTGTGCAGGGATGGTAGGTGGAGACTCCGTTCCGTCCCGCAGATAAGAGACAAAGACAATGAAGACAATGCTAGTTACCAGGTGCTATTATCAGCTGGTGCTGGCTTCCAGGAAATGGAGGGAGGGCTCACTTGAGCCTGGGGGATCTTCATTATCTTCCATCCTCCCCTGGATTTAGGGTTTCTTGTGCTTTCTCAGTGCTAGAGAAGTAGGGATGTGAGAAAAGTAGTGGAATTGAGGAAGTGCTTGGTGTGTTCAGAGTAAACGAGGGGATCAGAGAGTTTGTCCCAGAGTCCTTGTAAGGGAGATAAGACTCGGGCAAGACCACACATACCTTAGAACCCTACAGCGTTGGGGTTGGAAGAGCTAGGGCTGTCCTGTTTGAACTCCTCATTTCTCACTTGAGGGCCACAGTCAAAGGCTGCGTCCTTCCGGGAGTTAGAAGGACAGGGACTTGAGCTGTGCCTTTTGACCAGGAACTTCCACAATTCCACCCAACTGCCCAACTCCTACTCCGTCCTTCCCTCCCTCCTTCCCTCCCTCCACTCACTGTTGCACAGCCTCTCCATCTCAGGCACTCTCCCAGGGTTCAGGACTCCATGGTGTGCATCAGCAGACAGGTCCCTACCTCCAT